CCTCCTCCTCCTCCTCCTCCTCCTCCTCTCCTCCTCCCTCCTCCTCCTCCTCCTCCTCCTCCGCCTCCTCCTCCTCGTCCCACCTCCTCCTCCCCCTCCGCCTCCTTCCTCCTCTTTCTCCCCCTCCTCCAGGAGGCGTGCAGCCGCCTCCGCAGGGGGCGCCTCGGCTGGCTCGCGGCTTCTGCTGGCGCGCGCGCACGCGCGCGCCGCGCCGAGGCGGGCGGCCGCGGGGCCCCCCCTCCCGCAGGCCGAGGACCGGAGGCTGAGGACGGACCTCGCCAACGTGGGGAGAGAGCGCAAGGACCGGCGGAGAGCAGGCGGGCAAAAACAGGGGAGGCCGCGGCACTGCGCCCTCCTCCTCCTCCTCCTCCTCCTCCTCCTCCTCCTCCTCCTCCTCCTCCTCCTCCTCCTCCTCCTCCCCTCCTCCTCCCTCCCTCCTCCCTCCTCCCTCCTCCTCCTCCTCCCTCCTCCCTTCTCCCTCCTCCCTCCTCCCTCCTCCCTCCTCCCTCCTCCCTCCTCCTCCCTCTGTGCGTGGAGGGGGGGGGGCGCTGGACCCTCCCCCACGGGGTGGTGGTCGCGCGCGGGACGATCGCAGCCCACCCCCGCCCCCGCCAAGGTCAAAGCTGGCCCCCATCTCGAGTCGGGCCCGTCCCTCTGCAGGGGCCCCCCTCCCGCAGGCCGAGGGCCGGGGGCTGAGGACTCCGACCTCGCCGACGTGGGGAGAGAGCGCAGGGACCGGCGGAGAGCACGCATATGGTTCCTTTCTCACTCGTCGAAGGTTCTTTGATTTTTGTTTGGGGGGGGCCAGGGTCCTGTCAGTTCTCATTGTAAACTGGTCTATCCTGGGCCTCTTCCTGGCCACTGGGGGGCCAGGAACAGTATTAGAAACGACTAGACGTAAGAGTGACCTTTCGCCGGAGTGGCCTTTGGTGCGGGCCAAATGGGGCCCCCCGGTCGCCGAGCGCGATGCGGTGGTAGCGTCTTGCGCGCTTGTGTTTGGCCCCCCGCGGCGCCCGAAAAGCCGCGCGCTAAAGGTCACTCTTACCCAGGGTCACTCTTGCGTGTAGCCGAATTCTTCCAAGGTTCTTTGATTTTTTGGGGGGGCCAGGGTCCTTTCATTTCTAATTGTTCTATCCTGGGCCTCTTCCTGGCCACTAGGGGGCCAGGAACAATTAGAAACGAGCACAACTAGAAACGAGCACGATTAGAAATGAACGACGTGCACTGCGCCCCCGCCCCCGCCAATGTCAAAGCTGGCCCCCATGTCAAAGTGTTAGCCATGGAGGTCGAAAGTAGCGAAAAATCTCCCGCCGTGATTCTGTCCATGGCTCGAAGGATTCTGGGAACGAGGCTCACGGGTCCCCTCCGGTGAGGGAACAAGAAAGTGGAACACCTTCGTCTTCGACCCCGCGTCCACCCCCCCCTTCCCCCCAGCTTCAAAGTTGCCTTCGGCCTCTCGGAGGCTCTCGGGGGTCCGCTTTTATTATCCTCTCACGCTTGTGCTGCCGAATGCCTGGGGCCAAGTACTTTAAAATTGAGGGGAGGGTGGGGGCGCGGTGTCAATGGATCCATTGTTTGGGTGTCCCCGTAAACCTCTTTCCCAGACCCCTTCGAGTCATGAAAAATTCACGGCGGGAGGTTTTTCGTTATTGAATGGCTTCGCTCATTCCACCAGCCCATATTGTATCAGTGTTGCTATATGATGGCGTGCTCGTGGTGAGCGAGGAGGATCAGGAGGAGGAGGAGGAGGAGGAAGAAGGGAGGATGAGAATGAGGAAGAGGCCTCTCGATGGCTTCTTGGGGCATTTGTGGGGTCTCTTGGAAGGGCTGTCGGGGGCATCTTGGGCGCCACTTCGGGAGCTCCTGGAGGCCTTTGGGGATCTCCTGGGAGAGTCCGGCTCAAACTGTCCAGAGTTCTCGGGAGTTTCTTGGGAGCTCTTGGGGACCTTTTGGGAGGCTTTCCGAGACGGTCTTGGAGGGTTCGTGAGCCTGTTTGGACCGTCCGGCGGCCTTCTTGGGCTGCTTTGAGGCCCTCTTGGAGGTCTCTTGGGTTGTCTCGGGATCGATTTTGGAGGCTGGGCTCGAAATGCCCGTTCGGGTTCCCCGTCTGGGCTCCCTCTTGGGGCAGTCCCGGGGGCCATCTTGGGCTGTCTTGGAGGCCTGTTGGGCCGTCTTGGGGCCATCTTGCGCCCTCTTAGGACCTTCGTGGAGCCCTCTTGGGCCGTCTGGGGGCGTTGTTGAGGGCCTCTTGGGCTGTCCTGGAGCGTCGGGAAGACAGGTGAGGACGCCAAAATCCTTCAAAAACTAAGGGGAAATCAATGAATTTTGAATCCTGGGGCCCTCTGGAGACGCTTCTTGGAGGCGTCTGCAGGCGTCTTCGAGGCGTCTGCGGCCGCGTGGAGGCGATCTTTTGGGCGTCTTGGACCGATCGGTCTGCAACTCGGAGCCCTCTTGGTGCGGAAAGCCGCCCCGGGGAGTTCCAGCATCCTTGGGCAGACCTTGTCGGGAGTCTGCCGGGACCTTGCCAGGGCACTCCTCGTCCGAGGACCCCCAGGGGCCGCCCCGCTGGCCCGTTGCGCCGGCGAATTTTCGACCTCCAGGGGCCCTCGCCGGGCCTCGGGAGAGTCAAAGAACGATGCATCAGGATGAAAAACCAGTCCCGGGGAATGGGTCGAGACCTCATGAACCAAATCATGACGCTGGTGGTCTGGGTCTGGGACTTTGTCTCAGAGATCCGAGGCTCCAAAAATGGCGCGACGGGTTTTTGGCTGTGTTGGGCCTCCAGGGGCCCTCGCCGGGCCTCGGGAGCGTCAAAAACGAGTCAGGACGAAAAGCCGGCTCCAGGGGGCTCTGGACCTCTGGGGCCCGCGCATCGAACAATGTGGTGCAGCCGGATGCCTGGGGATGTTTTTTCAGTGTCCGGCGCGAGCCTGCCCTGATGGTCCGCTACCGAAAATTTCCGGTAGCGCTCCGCAGAGATCGGTCGCTACCGAAATACCGAAATGTAGCGCCCAATACCGGTATCAGACCGTTCTGAAATCCGCTATCTCAACGCCCTCAAACGAAGATCCGGTCGCTACCGAAATTCGGGGTGCGTCGAAATCGCTACCGAAAATTTCCGGTACCAGACCATCAGGGTGTGGTGCGGCCGGATGCCTGGGGATGTTTGTTTCAGTGTCCGGCGCGAGCCTGGGCTCGGGCCGGCCTGCCTTCCCCCCCGCCCTGCACCGGACAGCCGGAACTTCTCGATCGCGCAGGTCCGAAGGGGTTCGCAGTACCAGTGCTCGCGGGGGGCCTGCGGGGGGGGGGGCCCTCGAGAGCACGGATGCAGCCATCGGCCGTCCACCCCGCACGGGGGTGGCGCGAGGGGGGCACCTTCGAAGGAGGCGTGGGCCTTGGGGTGAATGGCCAGGGGCGGCAGCGAGCCCAAGGCCACGAGCACAAGATGGACAGGCAGACGCCGCTCTCGCAGTGGCCGCCGCCCGCGCCCCCGACCTCTGCGCAGATCTTCTCGGGCCCCCTCAGCCGCAGCGCCCAGCAGCGCCGCCCGCCGCCTCGCCGCGCCCGCGCCGACGCCGCCGAGGGCGGCCTCCACGGGGGCCCGGGGGCCCAGACCCCCGACGTGTCACGATTTCCTTTCACGGCGCGGCCCCAGAAGAGGTCCGGACCCAATCCCCGGGGCCAGTTTTGCATCCTGGGTCGTTTTCTCGCGGTCCCGAGTCCGGGGAAGGGCCCGCGAAGAACGGGACAAAATCGGATCGGGATAACTCGAAATCTCTGAGAATCGGCGGGCTTGGAGGATGTATTGGACGCCGCGGCCGCTCCAAGAGCGTTCCGGAACGCTCTGAGAGCGCTCCGGAACGCTCTGGAGCGATTTATCCCGATCCTAGCCCTGTTTGAGGCGGAAATCTTCGCGTCGCAACTTTTTCCCAACGCGAGGGGGTCTGGGGGGGCAGGGCCTCCGCCACCAGCTCGCAGGGCCGGTCCGATCGGCCACCGCGGCGGCTCCCGCAGCCTCTGCACGCACGAAATGGGTACCGAAAGAATGGGTACAATGCCCAACAGCAGTTCCTGTTCGTTTTGAACAGGCCTCGCTGTCCACGCCGCCGCGGCCTGTGTCCATTCGAGACAGGAGGCCGCCTGCCCAACAGCGGCCGCTGTTGGTTTGGGACAACATTTGCTGTTGGGCATAGTACCCATTCTTTCGGTACCCATTTCGGGCGTCCAAAGCAGCAGGCGCGCCCCCCGAAGGGGAGCGCCCTGCCGCAAGCTGCCCGAGGCGGCACGAGCCGCGAGGCGAGCGCCGCGGGTGGCCTCGGCGGCGCCGCGGAGCCTTGAGCACTCGCCTGCGCACCCGCAGTGGCAGCAGCGAAGCGGCGACGATCCGAGGGATGTCTGTGACGCGACGCTCGAGCCAGAGGAGCAACGAAGGAGGGGACGGAGGAGAGCAACTGGGAGGAGGAGGAGGAGGAGGAGGAGGAGGAGGAGGAGGAGGAGGAGGAGGAGGAGGAGGAGGAGGAGGATGGAGAGGAAGGAAGAGGAGGAGGAGGAGGGGGAGGAGGAGGGAGGGAGGAGAGAGGAGGAGGAGGAGGAGGAGGATTCGACGCTTCGAACCCGTGCAACGCAAAAGAGGATGAGAAGGCTGACGAGGAAGAGGAGGAGGAGGAGGAGGAGGAGGAGGACAAAGAGGAGGAGGAGCGGGGAGGAGAGGGGGAGAGGGAGGAAGGAAGAGAGGGAGGAGAGGGAGGAAGTGGGGGAGGGGGAGGAGAAGGCGGAAGCGGGGGAGAGGGAGGGGAGGGAGGACCGGGAGGAGGAGCAGAAAAGTGAGGAGGATGGGAGGAGGGGGCCTGCCCGCGCCCGATCGTCACGCTCGGGCGGCGGGTGCTCGCCCCCCGCGCGCCGGATGGAGGTGGAGGCCCAGGGAGGCCGCAGCAGCTCTGGCGGCGGCGCCTCGTCCAGGGGCGGGCGGCATCCCTGGGGCGGCGGCGGCCGGGGCCCAGGAGCTCGAGGAGCACCTGCGCGGTTGGCAGGCGAAGCTGGCCCTCGTCGAGGCGGCCCGCTCCGCGTCTCCTCCTCCTTCTCCTCCTCTTCACTTCTTCTTCTTCTCCCAGTCCTCCCTCCTCCCCTCCTCCTCCTCTCCTCCTCCTCCTCCTCCTCCTCCTCCTCCTCCTCAATCTCCTCCTCCTCAATCTCCTCCTCCTCCTCCTCCTCCTCCTCCTCCTCTTTATCCCTCCCTCCTCCCCCTTTCTTTTGTTGACGCTGTTCGGACCTGAAGAGCAAGCTTGTGGCGCGAGTGATGCAGTGAGAAAAACAGATCGCCGACCTGGGCGAAGAAGCGAGAAGATTAGGCTGGAGTGGCGAGCGCTGCGGGAAAAGAAGTGCGACAACGGAAAGCTGCAGAAAGAGGCCCTCGGGGGCGCAGAGTCAGCGCTCGCCACCAGCATTGGGGGAGATACCGACGAAGACACAAGGAAAGACTTGTAATGACCATGCTACGAAGGAAGATACCGAACGAGGAGAGGTCGAAATATTCGTTCACGAAGCGAAACAATTGAATGCAGCAGGCGACGCATAGAGAGGTAGGTGGTGCAAGTAAGATCAAGTGTCTGACTGCAAATCTCCGGGTGGTGCTGCCGTGCAGAGGAGCATAGCTAGGCCCCGAGCCCAGAGGGGCCCGAAGGCTGTTGCCTCTCCACCTCGACCATCCCTCTCCTGATGTGCCTCCACCCGCCCATCCGATCCCACACGTGGCTGGAGGGTTTCTCCGAAGGGCTTAGGCGACCCGTCCTCCTCCTCCTCATCCTCCTCCTCCTCCTTCTCCTCCTCCTCCTCCTCCCTCCTCCCTCCTCCCTCCTCCCTCCCTCTCCTCCACCACCTCCTCCTCGTCCTCCTCCTCCTCCTCCTCGGGACGCCTACGGCCCAGGGGGAAACCGTGCACCTCGACCATCCCTTTTCTGTTGTGCCTCCACCCGCCCATCCGATCCCACACGTGGCCAGGGCCCCCACCGAGGGCAGCCACCAAACTTATCCCCCACCGAGGGCAGCTGGGAGTCAAACATCCGCGGCCCAAACTTGCGAGATTGCCATCTTCAGCACCAATCCTCAAAGGTATAGCCTGTTCTGCGATTGCCCCCACCGTGGGTTAAAGCAGCTGCGACCCGCTGTCGCATTCCGAGCGCAATGACGTCGCAAGAGCGAATGCCGTCTACTGCCCCTTTTCCCCAATCAGATCCCGCCCCAGTTACCGAGCATTTTCTTTTTGTGTGGAGGGTAAATGGTGAAATCTGAAATGCCGTTTCGATGGATGTTCGAGGCTTGAATCTGCAAGAGGTGAATCACAAGACGGGGTGATTTTCGAGGTGGCAAAGCCTATATGGATCTCACCCTGAGCCCTCCACCCTGAGAAAATGCTCAGATTCACCTCACCTGACAGATGCCGATTCGATCGTCTGCCTTGGTGGCCAGGTGCCTCACGTGCCAGAGAAATGGAGGCGCAGCGGACCGAGGAGCGCGGCCACTTTCAGCCTCTGATCGTCTCCGGCGCCGCTGCGCTCGAGGAAGCGCCGCGGCATCGTTGTGAACGGTCCACCTCCATCACCACCTCATCTCGCCCTCCCTTGCCATACGACACCCCTCCAACTCGCAATCCTGAAGGGGCCACCCTTCGTTGCGACACACGTTGCATAGAGCAGCGGCGCGGCAAACGGCGAATATCATGGCGCAGCACAACGTCCGAGACGACAAGCCTCTTCGCGACAGGGCACTGTGGAGGGAGCGCGCCGGGACGCTCTCGACACGCTCCGACTAGCGGTGGAGTCCGAGTGGGCCCGCCTGGACGGGCAGTCGATCGGACTTTCGACATGCCGGCAAGTTGCAGAGTCCGGTCGGACCTGACCGAGGCCGACCATGACGGCACCGACAGCCTAGGGCTGGCCCGTGGCCTCGGGCCACGACCAGCGCACAGGCAGCTGCTCGACGGATCTCCGGCGGACACGCGGCCACATGCGGGCTTTTCTCCTCCTCTTCCTCTTTCTCCTCCTCCTCCTCCTCCTCCTCCTCCTCCTCCTCACATCCACTCCTCATTCAAACCTCCCCCTCTAACTGCGCCTCGGGCACCGCGACTGGTGGCAGAAAGAAACGGCTTCCGATACGCGCAATCAATTGAACAATGCCAACTCCATGGTCTGCCCTGGTGGCCACGTGCCCCAGGGGCCCACCACGGTCAGGAAAATGTAGGTGGAGCGGACCGAGGGGCGGAGCTAAATTCAGTCGCGGTTCGTCTCGGGCGCCGCTGCGCTCGAACACACACACACACACACACCGCAACCCTAGGTGATCGGTCGCCCCAACACCTCCTCTCATCTGAAAATGACCTCCACCTCCTCCCGGAAGCCCTCACCGAGGGACATCGCAAAGGGGCCAATGTTACGATGACCCCTGCCCTCACGAGGGCATTCTTCTTAAACTGGTCCCTCACCGAGGGTAGGGTTGAACACAGAGAAAACGCAAAGACGCCCCTCTGGAATCCTTGCCTGTCGATGGCGACGTCCTCCTACCAACAATGGTGCCCGTCCCATTCATCACGCATCCCGCCATCGCCAGTACCAAGGCTGACCAAATGGGTCTGGCTGGCCTAGCTTGGCAAGGCACCACTCTGGCGGTCAAGACACGCTCACAGCGGTCGGCACGCACGTCCTCCTTCACCACCTCCGTATCCTCCTTCGCCTCCGCCTCCGCCTCCGCCTCCGCCTCCTCCTCCTCCTCCTCCTCCTCCTCCGTATCCCTCCTCCTCCTCCTCCTCCTCCTCCGTATCCCTCCTCCTACTCCATAAACTTCCCCCGCTGCGCCTGGCGGCAGAAAAAAAGGCTTCCCGCACACGCGAATAAGTTGAGACGTGCCGATTCCATAGTCTGCCTCGGTGGTTACGTGCCTCAAGGGCCCACCACCACGGCCACGAAAATGGAGGCGGGGCGGACCGAGGAACGTGGCTGAATTCAGCCACTGTACGTTTCGGGCGCCGCTGCGCTCGAGCATACACCGCGGCATCAAGGTGATGGGTCCACAGCAGGTTGCAGAGGAAGCACCGAGCGCTCGCAATGAATGCCTTCTACTCCACCGCTACCTCATCTTCCCTCATCCACACCGCCCCCTACGCCTCGGGCAGAGACTGGTGGCAGAAAGAAACGGCACCCCATACAAGAAAATATTGTGAGATGCCGATTCCGTGGTCTACATCGCTGGCCACGTGCCTCAAGGGCCCACCACCGTGGCCAGGAATTGAGAAGCGGAGCGGACCGAAGAGCGGGTCTACATCCAGCCGTTGTTCGCCTCGGGAGCCGCTGCGCTTGAACATACGCCACAACGTCAAGGTGTTCGGTCCTTGCGGAAGTGAGCTGAATTGCATGTTCGCATATGAGGTTGAAGGTCGAGCCAATTGGATGCGCACCAGATAGTATTTCATTCCATGGGATGGTAAGGGTCGGGTCGTATGCATGTGCGCGGCTCTAAGGCGAGAGCAACATGTTGAAACGGAACCGGCTTCAACTTTTTGAAGTGATGCAAATTTCAAGTTTCAGCATCAGCATGGGCGAGGGAGTCTCAGGCGAAATGCCTGGCCTGGCCTCTGGGCACGCCCAGTGGTGCGACAAGGAGGAATCATCTATAAGGAAAAGAATGGAGACCTCTTGCGGCCCTCTTCTGGATTCTTGGGGGCTCCCTGACAACCCCGCGTGGGTTTCTGGGGGGCCTCTTGGGGGCCTCCTGGGGCCTCTTGGGGGGCTCCGTTCTGGGCGCCGCGGCTTGACCTCCAAAGGCCGTCTTGGGGGCCCCATCTGGGCAGTCGTGGGCCCCTCGTTGGGCGCGGCAGGGCCGTCGTGGTGGCCTGTGGGGCCGCCCTGGGGGGCCTCTGGGGCCGGGGGCGTTGTCGGCGCTTCCTTGGGCCGCCTGGGGGCCACTTCGGGGCGTCTTGAGGCGATCGCTGGGCCACTCGGGGGCCCTCTTGGACCGTCGTGAGGGTTTCGAGGGGCCCTCTTGGAACGTTTGGGGGGGCTCCTGCCTCCGCAGCAGAGTTCCCGCGACGGCACGCGGGAATCCCCGGAGCGCCCTGGGCCGCCCTGCATCACCCGGCGTTCAAAAGAGTATGGTTTTCCAGGCTTCCCAGATGGGGTCAGAGCAGATGGAATCGGAGCATATATATGTATGTATACATGACGCCGAGTGATCGGCGACGCATCGGCGATACATATCTAGACATATATATATATATATATATATATATATATATATATGTGTATATATACATATATATATATATATGCAGACATGACTCTACACGTTTTGGGCGTACATCTATGCTTTGATCTGTGCGCATTCGTGCTATATTGGTTGTTGCTCTCACGCCCAACAAGTCCTGGCGGAGAGCGAGGAGGACGAGGGCGAGGAGGACAGCGAGGACGAGGACGGGGAGGACAAGAGCGAAGAGGATGGGGACGGGGAGAACGTTGGCCGAGGAGAACGACGAAGAGGAGGAGGAGGAGGAGGAGGAGGGGAGGAGGGGAGGAGGAGGACGAGGAGATGGAGGAAAAGGGAGAACTGAGAAGAGGGCAGGGTGTTGGAACGAGATGAGATGAGCGGGATAAGGGGGGGGCAAGCTAGGTGCGCTCGCGTCATATCTGGCATCCTACCCTTCCCTCCCATCCTTTACCATGGCGTAGATCCCCTCTCTACTCGCACATTCGGATGTCGAGCAGGGCAATGATCCCGAAAGGGCACGCGATGCATTGTAGAGCACGGCATGGCATGGCGTAGAAGAGCACCGCAAAGCGTAGTATGTCACAGCATGGCGTTGCGTGGCGTAGTGAAGAATTGCATCACAAAGCTTTGCAACGCAAAGCATGGCATCGCACAGCGGCCCCGAATATAACATTGCATAGCATGGCGTTGAAGATCAAAGCGTAGCATGGCATAGCATGACGTGGCACTTCAGCACTGGATATGACAGCTGCAGCTGAAGGCATGGCATCGCGCAGCGGAACGCAACCTAGCATTGAAT